GCTTTGTGCAGCCTTGATATATGTATATAAACTGAAACAGTAGTGCATCCTAAATTTAACATCAATTATTTTAATAAAACAGTCATTTCTGCATTTTTTGGGGAAGTCACCTCCTAATAAATGCCCATAAATTTTAACTGCTCATTTTATATCTATACTTTTACTTTTAATACTTCAGCACAAAAAATATCAGATACTTTAAGACTTTTACTCAAGTAAGATTCCTAAAGGAGACTTTAACTTTTACCAAAGTAATTTTTTGGTGAGATACTTTTACTACTACTAGTAACTAATACTAATTACTACTACTAATACTTTTACTCAAATATCATTTTGTGATACTTTATACGACACTGGTGAGTAACTCTAGTCACAATGTGAATGCCAAAACAGAACTGTTACCAGAGACACAAAACTACAAGTTATCAACAACAAATTGTACTTTTAAATTCTGTAATTAACACTCAAAAACAGCAGCTTTTCAAGGCAGACTTTGGAGCTACATGTTACAGTGCGAATGTTAGTGTGCTAACGTTAGCATGCTAATGTTTCACACATTAGTCTGGTGAGCATTTCATTTAAGGTTTCAAAACTAACTTTTGGTGTTAAAATAAATATTTTAGACGTTATTTTAAGCTTAGAAAATTAGCTCTTACACAATTTGCAAATATAAGGTGTTTTAGTCTYATGTCACGTTGCAAACCTGTTGTTTTATGAAATGCTTAAGGCACCTGAGAATTTGCCTAATGTCATTTTTCAGGATTAACTGACTTAGCTTTCTTTCAAATTGTTGGTCTTTTCTGTTCGAAAAAAAAAAGGCTTTGCTGTCGATCTGTTTTTAGTGTTCTCATTAATAATAAAACAAGCCAGCAGGTGCCTGGAATAGATGTGAGAATATTGCTGAGTCATGATCTGATGATGTTTTGTTTTTTTTGTGTTGTTGTACCACTTGCTTGTGAAATGGTTACTAAAAGGCAACAAAAGCTCTGAACATGCTCYGCTATTCAGGTTTTTTTGGGTTGGATGCAGCATTTGGAGGATTTTATTTGATATTTTTCCATCTTTGTCCCATTAGTGTGAGCCTGAACGATTGTGTGGTTCTGGCGCAGCAACCCTGAACAGAAACAGAGGCTGAGATAAGGAATATTTGGATTTGTATTTACATGTAACTTTGTTTTTTTACCTGACCTGGAAGCACAGATGGAAGTTAGCCAGGTGGGCTAAATCTGGTCAAATCTCTTTTCCTTTTAGATTAATGTTCTTCTACGTTTTCCACCAACAAATAAACAAACACAAACGTCGACTCACTCATTTCCTCTGCCTGTTTTATCTTGATCAGGGACGCAGTCTGATCCCAGTATACAGTGTGGACGCCTTGACCTTTTATTTTTTTTATTATTTACCGTTATTTAACCAGGGAAGTCCCGTTGAGATCTCAGATTTCATTTTTAAAGACAGCCTGGGCCTGAAGGCAATCTACATGTTTTTAGGGGTGGGGGAAACTGGAGTACCCAGTGAAAATCCACGCAAACTCAAGGAGAGCATGCAAACTCCACACAGAAAGACTCCAGGTCCGAACAGGACCTTCTCGCTGTGAGGCATCGGTGCTAACCACTGAGCCGCCGTGCTGGCATTTGACCTTTGACCTTTGAACGAGTAGCAGACTTTCCCCCCCGAAGCATAAATGATAAAAAAAGAGACTAGAAACAAGAAATTTGAGCAGAGCAAATGTTGCAAAACTGCATCAAATACTGAAAACAACAAAAACTATATAACCCACACATTTTTTTAAATTCCTGTTAGCATGTGTGTAAGTTTACCAACAGTGGTGGACATGGTTCTGCTAATTAGCTAAYATATTAGCGACACAAATATTTTGTTTATCAAATTAGTTTTTTTTCACAAATTTTGAAAACCATTAGCGTACCAATCATTTTAGAGGTCAGCTAGTAGCTGTTAGCATTAGCTTCCACTAAATTGGGTTGTGCCAACTTCTGCTAACAGATGACCACCAAACTTTCATCAACAGGTTTGTGTCAGTCCCACCAGCTTTCATCTCTAAGCAGACAAATACATTTGACACAAACTGAGTGACGGTTGTTTTAGCAGATGAGCTGACGTTTTTTTTAATTTTTAAACACATTTAGCCTTAGCAAAGCTCTATTTTTTTGTTAGCAGATCATAAGCCAGCAAAGCAAAGCTTTTGGCTAGCCGTGCCACACATTACTGAATCATACATATGTTTTTATTCAGGTATTTATTTGAATAATCTGTTATTTTGATGCCTGAACGCAAAAGATTTGCACTTTTGATCCTGCATTGTTCTTTATATAACCGAAGACGCTGCGCTGCTGTTGTTTTTTGGAAAAGTGAAAAGAAAAGCCTCTTTAACAGCTGTGTGTCTGCAGCGCCTCATGTTTCTGATTTAACTTTCCAGGTTAAATATCAGTTTTATGCCAGTTTAACTAATCTCCATTTCACGATGTGTTTAATACACCTTTAGCAGGATTGCATAAATATCCATAATCTGTGAAAGTATACCGTGCACKCAGAGCTAACAGCTCCTGGGTTTTATTCAGAATCTGTGTGTTTTTGTGCTCAGGTGTGTTTATTATGCGGTGGTAAATGTTCCCATCAGGCTGATCCGTTTACRCCTGTCCATCAAACAGCGGCATMAATATTYCCATATTTCAGGAATAGGAAAGAGRTCATTTRTTTAAAATAAACTCAGAGGAAGAAGAGATTTATGAGAAAATGTAGGTTTTATTGAAGCGAAACATTAGTTTGTTTTTATTGTTTAGATTTCCTCCTGAGGTGATGGAGAAAGTGTAATTTATTTATGTTCTGTCTGAAAACACACAGGGCTGTGCAAAAGTCTCGAGTCATCCCCCACTTGGTTTGTTTCCAGACTGACGTCATGATTAACAATTCTCCAGGCTTTCTGAAAGTTTGGTGACTTTTTTTTCCATTTGTTTTCAGAGTAAATCATTTTTTTGTGTTCAACCTTTCAGCCACTTAACTCTGATCTGTTCAGCCAGACGTATAAAAGCTCCAGCAGGTAGAGAAGGAACCTGTTTTGTGTTGACGCTGAAATAAAAACAGAATCTTTAGACATTGGAGAAGTTTTATTGTTCTGTAGGTTTTCACCTGACTTTATGAGCAAATAAGTGACGTGTCTTTTGTCTCCTTGTCTTGTCTTTCTCGTTTCCTTCTTGTCTAATTTCCTCTCTCTCCCATCTCCTTCCTGTCTCTCACTGTCTCTCTTGTGCCTCTCCATTGTCTACTTCTTGTCCTATTTGTCTTTACTTGTCCCTCTTCTTTCTTCTTTTGACTCTTCCTTTCCTGGTTTTGTTTTATTTGTCTCCACTTGTCTCCTACTCGTCTCTCTCTCTCTCCTTATTGTCTGTTWTACTTGTCCCCTTCTCGTTTGTCTTTTGTCCCTTTCATCTCCTTGTCTCCTACTTGTCTCTGTTCTGTCTCCTTTTTGTCTCTTACTTGTTCCCTTTGTGTCTCCTCCTTATCTCTTTCTGTCTCTCTTTTGCCTCTTACTTGTAGGGCTACCACAAACGATTATTTTTATAATCGATTAATCACCGATTATTTTTTTCGATTAGTCGACTAATCGGATCATACGTTAATTAAATATAAAACATAGAACTTATTGTGCCAGAATGCAGCTGCTATTATATAACCATGGTTAGATTTTAGCTATATGCTAACTAAAAATAACCGCTGTGGAAGGCAAGTTCTGCTCTGCAGATATTGCACAGGTTTCTCTTTCATTTTCTTAAAATGATCCCACACTTTGAGCTTTGTTGCCAGGTAGCCATGGTACCAGAGCCTGTCTGTATAATGTCTTGTGACGTCCACGGCCTACCCCAGTTACCACTACTGTACATGTGTGTCAAGGACAGAAAGGCAGATGTGGCAGTGGAAGCTGTCAAAGCAGTTTGGAGAGAAAAACCAAGAAAAGAACAACAACAACAAAAAAAAAGAAAACGATTAATCGATGATTAAATTAATCATCATCGATTAGTTTAATAATCGATTAGTCGTCGATTAATCGATTAATCGTGGCAGCCCTACTTACTTGTCTCTTTTTGTCTCTCTCCTTGTCCCTCTTTTGTTTGTCTCTCCTATTTTTGTCTATTACTTGTCTCCCACATGTCTCTCTCCAGTCTCCTTTTTGYTTCCTCYTTATTCTTTTCTGTCTCTCGCTTGTCTCTATTTTTGTCTCCTACTTGTCTCTTTTCTGTCTGTCCCCTACTTGTCCCTCTTTTGTCTCCTACTTGTCTCTTTTCTGTCTGTCCCCTACTTGCCCCTCTTTTGTCTCCTACTTATCTCTCTCCTGACTCCTTTTGTCTCTTACTTGTCTCTTATGTCTCCCTCCTGTCTCCTTTTTGTCTCAAAATTGTCCCCTACATGTCTCTTTCCTGTCTCCTTTTTGTCTCAAAATTGTCTCCTACATGTCTCTCTCCAGTCTCCTTCTTGTCTCCTCATCCTTTTCGGTCTCTCGCTTGTCTCTTTTCTGTCTGTCCCCTACTTGCCCCTCTTTTGTCTCCTACTTATCTCTCTCCTGACTCCTTTTTGTCTCAAAATTGTCCCCTACATGTCTCTTTCCTGTCTCCTTTTTGTCTCAAAATTGTCCCCCACATATCTCTTTCCTGTCTCCCACTTGCCTCTCTTGTCTCAAAATTGTCCCCCACATATCTCTTTCCTGTCTCCCACTTGCCTCTCTTCTGTCTCCAGCATTGCTCGCTCCTGTCTCCTCTCCTCCTGCCTCCATCCTGAAGTCTCCATCTGACGTCGCGCGCGCCCCCTGGCGGTGATCAGGGGCACTGCGCGCGCCGCGGGTGGTTTAAAAGCTCGAGCTGAGGAGCTTCTGCTCACAGATCCGAGGAGCTCCACGCCGGTGGGGGAAAAAAAGTTTTTAGACCTCCAATCAGTCCGGACGAGCCGAAGGAGGGAGAAGAAGCAGAGATGGCGACTCAGGCGGAGCAGCTGCCCCACCTGCACCTGGCGGAGCTCACAGCTGCGCAGTTCATCGATATCTGGAAACACTTTGACGCAGACGGTCGGTGCAATCAGCTGGAGCTCTTTACATTTACAAAAAAAAAGTTTTCATATTTGTCTAGTAGATTTCAAATCTTCGGATTTTTGAGATAATATTTAAAAACAAGTAGTTTTCATTCTGTTCTACTTTTAGAAAAACAGATTTTAGATTTTTAATAATATTAATTAATATTGTTGCTCACGCTTGATGTAATTAAATTGTTTCTGGGGTTGTTTTTAAATAGCAAAATGATCTGAAAAGAAAGAAACAGAGAGGATGAAGAAATGCTGGATGCAGATGGATGAGGGGAGGATGAAAGAGTGAAATATGTTTCCTCCAGCTTTTCAAATCTGCACAATTACTAGAAAATTACTGCATGAAGAGGGCGTGGTGGATGCTGTTGTACACTAGCTACTAGAGAAAAATTAGAAAAATACAATAGCTATTTTCAGGGAAAGTTGCATTAAAATTACAAAAAAATATTTAAAAACACTTTGTGCAGACAACTTAAATAAATGTGATGGTTAATGTTGGACTGGGTGGAAAATGATCTAAAACCACATCTTTCTTCGTTTTACAGAATTTAACTTGTATTTACTGATATTTAGTGCCCTGATTTGTTTTTAGCTTTTACATTTTGAAGAATTTAATCTCTTACAACAACAAAACCATTTAAATCCTCTTTTCATATAGTAGTGAAGCAAAGCTCTTCAGCAACATAAAAAAATTCAAGTGAACAGGATTAATGTAACTTTCCATTTATTCACCTGAGCTGCAGCCAAACTGCTGCTGTCAGTTTTCAATATCGGCACAAACCAGTCCAGCTTAACCAGTTTTTCACGCTGCAACTTCAGTACGGGATTATTTTCTCTTGCCATTCTGAAGATCCTCTGACCTGAACTGTTAAACCCTCACCAAACCCCCAWCCCTTCAAACTGCAGCGTTTTCATCAGAAGACACATCCTGGCAGTGCTGAGGGTCTGCTCATATCACGTTTGATCCAGTTTTAGTCCTGACCCGATTGAATCCTTTATGTGGAGAAAGGTATGCAAATCTTGCAAAGAGATGGAAAAAAGACCAAATACAGTAAGTCCTGTTACATAACAGGAGCTAAAGCTGCCTTTAGGTTTTATTTAGCTATTAGAATAATCAAAAGGCAGAGATAGAAACGGCCAATAAATTACAGTTTAGAGGGTTTTGTAAAGCGTTTAGTTGTGTTTGTGGAATAGCTGACACCAGCGATGTGTTTAAAGGGTCTAAATCTTTGTGCCTTGCAGAGGTGAAAGAAATCAGATGCTGCGAATCAGAAACCCAATCAAGTCTGTAAAGCCCTCAGAGCAACAAAAACACTGATCAGCTTTAAGACCTTTTATCAGTGCTTAAAAGTAGACTTCTGTACAGTAATTAAAGCTTTGAGGTTTGTGTACTTTTCTTATTTAAAAAACAGATATTGAAAAATAGATGGTTATTCTATTTGTCTCCATTAACAGAATGACGGTTCAGCTTTTTATTTGCTTAAACCAGAAGTTTAGCAACGTCGTCAAGTCCTGTGGAACCTGAGGTAGCTTCAAGTTCCTCACCGTGGACCTCTTGGAGAAAGGCATTTTTTCATTTTTCAGTATCAGATTTTAACATGAAAAATCAAATAACCAACAGAATAAGACATAATCCTCATCTAAAATGAAGTTTTCTTGTGAATATGGTGATTGTGTTGACAGAGGTGGAATTGATTTGTCTTTTCTGATCAGGAGCTATAACGTCAAAACACTGTTAGTTCTCTAAATTCTAATAACACAAATGACCCTCCGAAATTACGTTTTAATATCATTTAGAACATAAACTAACAGATGAAGACAAAATATTACATTTAAAAATACATATCATTAATTTCTTCTGCCTTACTCTCTATCAACAACCGTTTCATTTAAAGATACAGTTTATCACAATCAAACAAATCAGATTAAAAAAATGAAAACCCTTACTAAAAAATGCAATTATTAATTATATATTAATTTTCTTGGCTTGAAGGTTGCAAGCTGTCATGAGAGAAATGCACCAAATACAGTGACAATAAAGCTATTTCACATTTAAAGTGCGACATTTGCGGCCGAATAAAATGTTAACGAGGGCCAGATTTGGCCTGAGGACCTTGAGTTGATGCATGCGGTTTAGGTTAGTTGCAGCAAATCAGGGTTTCCATTCTATTATCCCCATAGACACTGAGGCAGAGTCTGTTTTTGAAGGAAAAGTTGTCCTTACAGTGACTCACGCTGATAAACTCCAACATGTTTTAATCTTGCTGACACGGCAGCGTTTGTTCATGTGAGGCATTTGAGTCACGTCGGCGTTCACGTCAGTTTCAGCCGCTCGAAATGTTTGTTGAGCAATCAGCAGTTGAGCTGTGTTTGTAAATGTTCAGGGACTTCATCTGCTMGGTGTGCAGTGGTGCGCTCCGAGTGGCGGCGAAGATTTGGACGGACGGCAGCTCAACTCTGGCAGCAAGCCTCGATGAACTGAGAGCAGTTATTTCTGTGGGCTTTAACGAGCCACAGGATTAGAACACACACACACACACACACACACACACACACACACACACACACACACACAC